AAAAATTTCCTCTGCAAAATACCCATGTCAGCAATGAAAATACTACTAAAAAGGGGCTAAACCATACTGAAAAGCAAATAAAACCAGTTTCTTTTTCTGACACATGCCCCACCTCCCATGCTCCTTTGCTCCAGTCACATCATACTAATATGGTTCTCTCCTGCCGCCATCTTTAATCTCCCACTTTCTTATTCTTAACAATTATTTGGAGAATCAATAGCTCCTTGTAACTAGGAGGGACACAAATACTAGAAACAGAATGAGTGAATAAATTATTATTTCCCAAGTATCCCAGGTCTTTCACTGTAACAAAGTTACAAACCAAAATGCATTAGGTAAGCTGCTACTTAAAGGTAAAGTTAGGAATCCTCTAGTAGAGCTGATGGCGATGCACTCACGACTCAGTTCCAGAGGGAAGACGTCCCTGGAGTCTACTTGTCAAAAATTACCACTTTCTGACAGGCTCCCATGGAATGACCTGAGCTGAGTGCTGGGAGCTGCCAGGCCCTGCCCTGGTCCCCACTCCATCTGCCTGCTTCCTTGGGGCTTCTGTCGGTGGAGCTGAATGGGCACAGTGTCAGGCCAGATGGCAAAGATGGGAGAAACTGCCAAAAAGGAGGTGAATAGGAAACGGGAGGAGGGCTTTAGGTGTGGGGGAGGGTTGGCCTGGGCCCTCTCCACAGTCCTGCCTGGACGAAGAGGTCAAGTTATGGGAGAAATGTACAAAGCAGAGGAACAGCAGCTGCCCCAAAAAGAATGAACACTGGAGTTTCATTTCAGCAGGGAGAAGGAGGGACATGGAGGCCCACATAGGCTCAGTAACCTTGACTAACCTTGCCCCAAGGATGTGGTGACAAGCATACCACTACACATATGTGTACGTACATGCAAGATATAGGTGCGCTAAGAGATGTGCATGCATGGTTCCTAGTAACATAGAAGCCAAGGTATATATACCCCCAGTAACACACAAGAATGCGCACGCACTGCGGCACAGACAACTGGGCCAGAGGAGGAAGGGCAGACATAGCCCCTGGCCTAGGGATATCCATATTCTTATGCAGACAGACAGACAGAATCAGACAACTTCGGGAGCACAGACCCCTGCAGAGGTGTACTAACATATCCCAGCCCCCAGATACTGGAGGATGAAGAAAGCACTGCACACACAGAGGCCCCGGGGCTGCCCCGTGTCATCACTGCCCACCACACCACTCACGCACCAGAGTGCACGTGTCTGCTTGCCTCCTCCCTGGGCCTCTGTCCTTCAGCTTCCCAGGCACACATCTGGACCCAGGTTCCTTATGTCCTCAGGGCCTCTTGGACCTGTCCCATTGCCCTCTGAGCTGGGCTGGGCACCACTTTTTGCTGAGATAAGCCAGAGGGGCAGGGCTATTTTCTGCCATAGGCAGGAAGTGAGAATGAAAGTCAGACTAGGCAGGAGTCAAGATCATGACCATTCCCTCCCTTTCTTACACACAACCTGCCCGTGGCATCCACCCTTCTGGCTCTGATCAATGATGCAGAGGGAGCTGCAGAGAAAGGAACAGGCCATGTGGTGGGGGTTGAGGGGACAGTGATGGGGGCAGGGAGGGGAGAGAATCACCTCTGCTTTGTCCAGCTTCTTCCTGCCTGCCACCCTCTCCATGCAGCCCCCCCTGCCCCTCCCACACATTCACCAAACACCTTGTTCTCTCTTCCTCTCCTCTTTTTAGTAATTCATTCACATCCTTCAGAAGTTTGAAAGGAACTCAGATCTCCTTCATCTTCCTTGCCCCAGAAGATGGTTCTGGAACAGCCCCAAATTCATTTAGATTCTGGAGGCCACATGGCCAGGCCCTCAGGCAACTTTGGAAGGAGGCACCTTTACCCACAGAAGGCTCCAATATAAAGACCTGTTAATATCTGTATTTTCAGATGCCCCAAATGACTCCAAACTGTGCTGGGCCTGCAGCAGAAGCTGGATGCATATGGAGGCTTTTCAAGCAGCTCTCTGGGGACACAGATGTATCCTGCTCATTGCTTGTCCTGGGACTGAGAGGTCTGTGGGGTGGAGATAGTACCAGTCACCAGAGTGATTAGATGCTGCCTCCCGCCTCAGGGGCCACCTCCTTGCCAAGGACAGGAGCCTCTGGCACAGGCCCCCTCCTTCCTGGTCCAGGCCTGCTCTGCTTCCTTCAGCCAAATTCCTGCTCCAGCCTCTCCCCACTCTTCCCCACCTGAGCCTCTCTTCCTGCATTTGCATCATCATCCTCAGTTGTGTCTTCTCCCTCCTGGGGTATTCTGACCTCCTCTCTCCCGGCATTTCTCTCCTGGAAACAGGCAGAGAGCAGTCGGCCTGCAGCTCCAGTTAGTCTCCTGGTTGTACGGGTCACCTGGCCACCTGCATATCTCCCTTCACCCTGCTTTCCAGAGCTGGAAAAACAGGAAATAGAGTCCCAGTCAAAAGAAGTCGCTTGGCAGGGGTCAGCCCTCCACAGCCCTGTGCTCCAGGTGGGCTGTGACCCTCTCACCCACCCTTCTGGTGGAGCCTGGATGGTGTCATAGCTTCCGAGGAATCTCCCGAGCCTCTTGGCCCCACTGACCTTGCTCTGAAGTCAGATACCACTTGGCATGCACCACTGGCTGCAGCCCTCACCCTTTCTGCTGTCTGCTTCCCCGGGGGCCTAGGCATGCAAGGTTTCTGTGTCACTGAGGTAGACGCCGGGGCAGTACAGGGAGAGGCAATGACGCAGCAGCCTCTGGTGTCTCCGATAGGCCAGGAGGTGAAGTTTATAGGCATGAGTAAGTTCCTATTTCCCCTTCAAGACTTGCCTCCACCTCCCCTTAGGGCTACAGCTGCAGCTTGCCCTAAAAGGAGTGCAGATACACCTGGTGGGAGGCCCTCTCCTTCATGGAGGCCCCCATAAACATAGGTAATAAGCAGGCAGCTGCCCTCATGAGCCACGTACTACAGCCGTTGGAACGCTGGAGGCCATCTTGTCTAATCCCCTTACATGGATGAACACACTGGGTTAAGACAGTGTCTCTCCAAGACCCTGTAAAATACATCTTGGACAGCCAGAAAAGATAACGCCAAGAACACATGTGCATCAGTGGACTCATTAGTGGACTTCAGCCAGATTATTTCATTGTCATCCAGCAAGGGGCCTGGGCCTGGGGGCTGAGTGGTTGGGGGTTAAGCCTTATCTGAGAGTGGGAAAGGGTAGGAAGCCATCTACTGAGGCCTTCCTAAGTGGCCTTGGAAGTCCCAGGCTCAACATGACAGTGGGGCCGAATGGGTGAATGGGGTACCCCAGCCTCTAGCTACCCCTGCGTGCTGGCTGCCTCCTCACCCAGCAGTGTCCAAGCGGGTCTGTCTGCTGGAGGCAGCCCCTTTTAGCTTGTTACTCTATTCAGAGAGGTTTCCTGGGGCCCATGGCCCACCCTCACTTCCATCCCCACCCATGTCCCCCTGTTCCTAAAGGAGGGGTGCTGCCCCTGGCATCCCCCGGAAGGTTCAACCTGCCCATGACACCCCCCTACCTGAGCTCCTTGTGGCTCTGCCACTGCCCCCAGCCGGCTTCCGCTGCCTGTTTGGGCTGGGCTGGTAGGACCCGATCCTGGCGGGTGGGGACACACCCACCTTCTCCGAAGATTCCAGCTCCTCAAGCTCACACTCACACTCACTCACCCAGCCCCGCACGGGGCAGGGAGAGAGGAGGAATCAGTGCCCTGAGCGGCCTCCACGGACTGGTGGGTAGATCATAACACTTAATCCGGCCCTCTTGGTGCCTAATAACTACCCCCGCCCATGGCTCCCACGCTCCCCACGGTTTCTCGGAAGTCTCACTGGCACACCCACCCGCTGGTGCCAGATGACTAACCCACCAGCCTTCCACTGTGCTCACTGGTTCCCCTGGGCGTCTCTTTCTCTGTTGAGTTCCGGCAGGTGGCTTCGCTCCAGCCAGTCATGGCTCAGACCTCACCCTGCCCAGGGCCCCTCTGCCCACTGGCTGCTGCTGGGCCCTCTCAGGGCAGAGAGCCGACAGCTCCATCACTGCGGTTAACAGCAGGATGGTTCCTTCTCATCTCTACTTCCCCTGGGGGCGCGGGGCAGAGGTCACAGGAAAGCCTCAGGTCTCTGCACCAGGGCTGAGCTCCTTGTCCTCTGAATCAGTAGGGCTGCGCATGTCGCCCATGCTCAATGCACAAAAACAAGGTAATGTTTTTGAGTGTTTAGAGTGATAGGTGAGAAAGGTTATTGTGGTCAAGTGAGTTTGGAAAATACTCGGTTAAACAGGTTTCTATGTTACAGGACTTCTCAGAACCTTTACCATGCCATGAGATTGGCCTGTGTTGACTGAAGTGGGGTGGAGGTCACAGGGTTGAACTAGTGTATTTTTGTGCATGTTTGATCTTTTCCATAACAAACAACTTTTTAAAATGTTGATAATCACTGTGAACCTATAGAAGAGGGTGAGACTATACGGTCTCCCAAACATGTGTGTCCCCAGAACACATTCTGGGAGATTTCAAGTCATTTAAGGCCATTGCTGGAGCCATACCTCAGTGCATATTGTCAAGGTGCAGCCATCCCAACCGTCCAATAGTCTGGCCCATTACTGGATGGCAAGTCAAGGGCTTCCTAAGCTCCAGCCCCAGCGGCTTCCTCCCTCCTGATCAGGTGCAATTCTGCCCTGCCTCCCTCATACCATCTCAGCCAGCCTCTGGCCTTTGTCTTCCGGAGGGACAATCCTACCCTCAGATTGCCAGGTCCAGGGCTTCAGAATAAGGACACACACCCCTGTCATGGCCCACATGATGACTAAGCCCCTGGCCATGGCCTTCTTCAACCCAACTGATTTCATAGACATTCTCCCAGCAGCTGGCTGCTTCCCCACATACCATTCTCATTCTCTCACCTGCAAGGGGATCCATAGATCCTAAGGGTTGGAGGGTTGGTTTCCAAGGGGCAGGATGGCGGTGCTGGGGATGGGATAACCAAAGTAGGCCACACAGGTTGAAAATAAACACTTTATGCAAAGATATCCCTTTCAGGAGGACAGAGTTCCCACCATGGACTTCTCTGGGACTGCTGCCCAGCCCGGGGGAAACCCAAGTAGGGGCCTGGTAAGAAACCCACTAGGGGCAGCCAGGAACCAAATTGAGAGATGGTGTCTAAAAGCAAGGGAGAATGTGGAAAGGTCGGGCTGGGGTGGGGACAGGACAGACCCCGGCTCATCAAGCTTGACCTAGAGTCAAGGTGCTAAACTCCTGGCTCCACTGAAGCACCACGTCCGCACTCTTGGCATGGGTCAGGACACTGTACGTCTCGTTCTGCAGACATCTCATGCGGGACACCTACACAGGGGTTGGGTACGTGGCTGTGTCACCAAGCCGGGAGCCAGAGGTGTGGAGTGGGGGAAGCGTCAGGCATCCCATGAGTACCAGAGGAGGGCAGGCATGGGCACAGGGCCATAGAGGGAAGGAGATGTAGGTTTTTCAAGCTACAAGAGGCACCAAGTCACCCAAGCCCCTACTTTTGGAAATGAGGAGGATGAGGCTGGAGGAGGAAGTGACTTATTCCAGGCTACCTGTAAGAGGAGGCAGGACTCAGACCCCAACATCCAGTTCCCAGCCCATCTGCGGCTCTTCCCCCAGTGCTGGCAGCATCCCTCCAAGGCCCCTCTGCCTGGGAGGCCTTGCTTTCTCCAAGACAGGAGGAGTGGAGAACAGAGGTCTGGTGGAGGCCTCTACCCAGAGATTTGAGTCGCAACTGCTCTGCATATCTCTGCTGCTCAAGGGGGGACCCTCAGAATAGCCCCACATGTGCTGACCCACTGAGGGGCTGCTGGGATGAGTGGGCAGGGTGGGGGGCTTACCTTCCGGTCCCGATTTCTCATCAGACACTGTTGGCTTTTGAAGGAACAGTAGTTTGGGTACTGCACAAAGTCTGTGTCACAAATCTAAGCCAGGAGCCAGGGATGGGGAGGTGGAAGTTATCAGAAGCCTTCCAAGACACCAGTTCCCAGGCAGTGCCTGCTGTGGCTGAGCTGGGGAGGGGTGTGTCCCTCAAGAGCCAGATCTTGCACACTGGGTCCCCCCTCTGAGGAAAAGGCCATTGTCCCCTCTGCCTTTCCCATCCCACCCCTGGTCACTGGTCAGTTGCTGGAAGAAGCCATGAGCTGGGGAAGGGAAGCAGCTGCCCTGCTGGCCAGCTTGCTGGGAAAGCAGCTGGGAATGGGGAGCAGGAGGGCCCGACTCGCGGTCCAAGCTCCGGCTAAGTAAGAGACGGCTAAGTAAGGGAGAGAGCAGATGAACCTCCAGTGACCTCAGGTGAACCACTGCCCCCCATGGCCCCGTCTCCCCACCTATAAGTCTAGGGGAGTGGCAGAGATGATTTCTGAGATCCCCTTCCAGATCTAGGGGTCTGAGGACAAGAGCTGGCCTGGGACCCCTCAACTCAGCTCCCAGCCCTTTCTTAAGTGACCTCTATTCTTCCTTGCCTTGATTTTTCCTGTTAAACCTCAGAAGGGAGGGACCTAGCTCTCAGCTAAAGGTAGTCCACAGAGGAGGTAAATTTGGGGAAAGGGGAGCAAAAGTGGTTCCACTGATCAGGGAAAGCCTGGCAGCTTCCGCAGAGAAGCCTGCCACATTGAGGCAGGACAGGACTGATCACCAGGTCGATGGTCCCTCGTGCATCACCTTAGTCTTAAGTTGTTGAGTATACCTTTAGCCAAGAGTGGGAAGTGACTTGACCAAAGGCCCTCAGGGAACCTGCAGAGCTGGGACAAGAACCTCTCTGCCTCCTGCCTCCCAGTCCTGCACTCTGGCACCCCTCCCGATCCCTGCTCCTGTGCCAAACACAATCCTGCTCTATTTGGAGTGGGGGTGTCTATTGGAGAGAGGCAGGAAGCTAGGTAAGGACTGGCTCCCAGGCCCTCTTCCTCACCCTGGGCCCCCTAGAGCAGTAACAGGGAGGAAGTGGGGCGGTGCTGAGCTTCGGGGTAGGCTCTGACCTTGGCGGGGAAATCTCCATCCTGGAAGCTAAGGAACTCCGTCTGGAGCCAACCAGCCACTCGACTATCTTCACAGCCGTTCATGGCTAACCGGGCACACCAAAAGTCCATGCGGAGCCCGCCATACAAATCCAAACCATAAAAACGGCCTGCTTGTGGGTTCCCTATCTGTGGCACAGGGGACAGGAGTCAGGCGCAGGCTGCTGCCCTCCTGCAGGCCTCCCTGCCTCCTGCCTGTCCCGGTGGATCGTGAGGCACCCCACTGCAGGCTGCCGTTGGAGTACCTGGTTGCCAATGGACATTCTCTGGGATGAGAGCAAGGGGCTGATGAAGGGTGTTTTGTGGGAGCTGTCACAGTGCTGCCGCTGCAGGTTGGCCTCCGAATGGCACTGCTCCAGCTTCAGGGAGCAGAAGTCACAGAGGGCACAGGGGGTTGTGTGTCGCCGCCCAAGGCTGTCACAGACCTGGGGCCAGAGTGTGGTTGAGAGACGGAGGCTGAGGCCTTCCCGCCCTGGCCAGCCAGGGCCATCCCCGCAGACCATCTTTTCACTAAGGCCCTTCACAAGGCTTCTCTGGCTTTTCTCCCTGCACCCTTCCCCAAGGGCTCCTCAGGGATCTCGCCTCAGCTCTGTGTCTCTTCACCCTTCCTAGATGACTGATCTACTCATAGGTAATCTTCATCTCCCTGCAGGTGATACCCAAAGCTTTATCTGTTCTGATCTCTTTCCTGTGCTCCAAATCGTCACTGCCAAGTAGCTGACAGACGTCTACTATTGGGTGACAACCACAATCACCCCTAACTTAGGCTGTCTGAAAAGGGCTCATAACCCTGCTTTCTCTCGCATGCTAATGACAACAACGATATTTACAAAGAGTTGACACAGTGCTGGCCACCAGCGCTATAGATGCTATCATCTCACTGGGTCTTCACCACAACCCTGTTCTAGCACAAGTACTAGTAATATTTCCATTTGACTGATGAGGAAACTGGGACTCAGCAAGGCTGAGCAACTCGCTCAAAACCACATCTAACAAATGGCAGAGCTATGTCCCAGCTAACTCCCAAACTCACTCTCTGCCCAAGTACCTACATTCAAAACCTCCGAGCTCTTGAAAGATTTTCTTCCAAGAGGAGTTGCTGCCTTCTAGCTGGACACCTGCAAGGCTCTTCCTCAGATTCTCAGGAGGGTCTCTGAGTGGCACCCCCCTTCAGCAGGGGTCAGCACACCACAGTACACGAAATCGTTTACACCGCTGTGTGTCCTCCCACAACAGCACACTGGGGAGGTGTCATCATGTCCCTGACCAAAATTGTCACTGAATCCTCTTCTCCTACCAAATTAAATTTAAATGCCTCAGACTGCCCTTCCAGATGGGTCACATCATGACCCTTACTATCTCTTTGGCTCGAACTCTTGCTGCTCTGCTGCAGGTCAAATGGGCTCCTTATCAAGCCCTAAAATCCAGGAAGTGCTCCAGAGCTCTTGGACTTCCTACGCTTAAAACAAAACAAAAACAAAAAACCTCTCCCCAACAACTACCACACTCCTTTTGCTATGCTCTGAATCCCTTATGGCTCTCAGCCCCCGAAGGGCAGGAGCAGTGCACCATCCCTGGTTCCCTGCAAAGTCTCATCTCTTTCTTGCCTCAAAGTCTTTGCACACCCTAGTCCCTCTAGCAGGAACCTTCCACCAAGCCCCTTCTTTTGCCTGCTTAGCTGGGTTTACCTACAGGCCTCAATTTAGGCATCAGTTTCTCTAGTAAACATTCTCTGAGCTTCCCACCTGCTCTCCCTGCCCTTTGTCCTTACCCATCAGAGCATTTACCCCTCAAATTATTCTCCTGTTTCCAAGTCTGTCTTTCCCAGGAAAGGACAGAGGATTGGATCTAGTGCATTGCTAATATCTCAAATACCTAGCAGAGTTAGTACTCTGTAGTAAAAAAAAAAATCAGTATTTGTTGAACAAATGGATGAATGGATGGTGTACCACCTCTCAACAAACACTTGTGAACTTGGATTACTTGAGAGACTGAAGGCTATTTTCCTGGGAATAGGACTTGCTGCATGCTGAGGACACACTGAGACTGGAATCTCTCTACAGATCCCTGGAATGGGTGCTATGCTCCCTCTGGAAACGAGAGCTACATCTAGGGCAAAGCCAAGTACCAAAGACGGTCAACTAGATCAGGAGATGACTCGAGCCTAACAATTCAGAGAGCTGAAGAACGAATCCCCGACTAGACTGGATTCCACACTAGGTCTTGAGCTTCCTCCTTTAAGATGAGCTGGAGATGTTCTTCCGAAGAATGCGTTCTCTCCAACAATGCCTCATGATTTCATGGGTATCCCCCCGGGTATACCCCTCACCCTGAGGGGGGTGGTTTAGTGCCAAGCCCCGTGAGGGTGTACCCACTAAGCAGCACGGTGGGCGTACCGGCTTCCCAAAACCGAGGATCTCCTCCTCCATGTACTGCCAGGCCTTGGCCGTGGGGGTCACAATGCAAGTGTTCTCTATAATCGAATAGCACAGCACCAACAAGGCTTCCACGTGGGGCAGCTGCAGGAGGCTGCAAGGAGACAGCACTGGCTGCTGAGGATGGCCCAGAGGGCTGCGGCAGAGAGCCACGTCTGCTCCTGCCCCCTGCCCTCAGCAGCTTGGCCTGGTCACACATATTCAGCATGCCGGATGGGACTATAGAGGCTCCAGACCAACTGCCTCCTTCTACAAATGAGGAAATAAAGTCCAGAAAGGGGAAGTAACTGAGATTAGCAGAGCGAATCAGGACCAGAGATAGGATCAGAACTCAAGCCTGGCAGCTCCAGGGCTCACTCCACTACGTCCCTTAAGGAAGGAGAGTCTGGGGCAGCGTTTGAGCCAGTGATAAGGTGAGGCAGGCATTGGTAGATGCGCCTAAAGCCCAAGCAGGTCTAAGTTAGTCTGGAGGCTTCTCACTCCCAAAGAAAGCAGCGGGGAGGGCAGGGCTGGTGGGGGAGTCAGAACTTCCTGTACCTGCCAGGGCTCCCATTTCTCCAGATGGAGTCGTCATTGTATACACCATTCAGTGGATCCATTTTCTGGGCTGAATGAATGAGCTCCTGGATGTTCTCCATCATCATAGGAGGAGACTCCACTTCCCGCACCCATGGAGTGAATGACAAAGGGTTGGAAGATACAAATTCAGGCTGGAACTTGGGCTCTAAATCTGACTGTAGCCCAGACCGAGTCTCCAGTCGCTTCTCTGTCCCCTGGCCTTCCTCCTTCTTTCCTTCCTCCTCCTGCTTTTGCTCCTTCCCCTCCTCCTGCTTATGTTCTTGCCCTTGCTCCTGCTTGTGACCTGACCCTTGCTCCTGGCCCCCCAGGGACAAGGAAGACTGGAGCAGCTCTTCCACGCTGCTGTTGAGCCGCTTGGACCAAGGCTGGAAGGCCTGTTGCTCTGTGGCTGCAATGGGGTTTGGGAGGGGCCAAGAAAGAGAACGTGAAGGGAAGGCCAGGCTTCTGGGTCCCATGCGTCACTGATTTCAGAGGGACACACACATAAATACAAATGCAGAGAAAAGGAGCCCAAACCACACACAGTCAAGTGTAAAAACACAAAAGGGTACGAATTCAAAAGAGAAGAGTATTGCCATGGCAGTTTTGGCAGTTTCTGTCACCTTTCTGCCCTGCTCACAAAGGCTCCTCCCTAACCTTCACCTCAAATGCTACCTATTGTTCCTCTCCCTTAGGAAACACCTAACATTCTGAATAGCTAGGCAACTAATCCTTTCTACAGTGAAGATATTAGCTTATAAATGTCCCAGAACTCTTCCAAATGCAGGACTGTTTTGGGAGCTAGGAAAATTGGATTCAGGACACGGCTGTGATTGATGTCTGAAGATATTCTGGGACAGGAAAGCCCTAACCTGCATTCATAAAAAGTAGGCCCTCCCTCTGTAAATAGCTCACTGCTGCCACCTCCCACCCCACTCAACATTCTGCCCCTCTCCCTACCACAAGAGCCTGAAATGTGGCGCTCTGAGAACCCGGAAGCAGCTGCTGGCAAGTCTCCCCAGTGCTGGGATGGTCTCACCTGTGGCGTATGATGAGGTGGGGGAAGTCATCGTGGTAGGGGGCACGGAAGTGAAAGAGTCTATTTCCTTGGGAGCGTTAGGTGAGAGAATTGAGACTGGCTGGGAGCATCGGACTCTCTGCAAGAAGAGGAGGAATGTGGCCATGTCTTCCCCAAGGGTGGCCTTCCACACCAGCGAATTCCTCAGTCCCTTCCCAGCGTGTCTGCTCTCAGTGCGTCATCCCTGTTCCTGGGCAGGGATGAAGGGACAGATCCCTGCTGGAACCCTCCAGACCTGCAAAAGGGATCCCCTGCAAGATAAAACTCCTGTCTGGACCATACCCCTGTCTTTGCTTTTTCCCTTTTAACTTGAATGAAATCACTGACCTGTTAGAGGAGTTGAAGGTTTTATCTCTTTGCCTCCTCCCGTCCCTCTTCCCTACTTTTCTTACAATAACAGGATTGTCCTGATAGTTTGAATGCCCACGGTGAGACTGTATTCATACACAATCTGGGTTAATGATTGGTAAGCCGGCAGGTAGGGAGGACTTCAGGATGGCCTTGTGCCAACCCCTCACGGCCTCTGCTTCTCCCTTGGCCCTGGGACACCAGATTCTCCCTTCGTCCTGGGTCTCACCTTGGCATAGTACACGTGGTTGGAGCAACGGTACTGAGTAAACTGGCAGAAGGACTCAAACCTGGGGGCATAAGGGAGGTCGGAGCAGACGGCGCCTGCGAAAGGGTGGGGTGGTGATGAACACACATTGAGCAACCCCCTCGCGGAGGCGCAGCCGCCTCCTTGGGTGTGGAGGGGAACGCGCGGGCTCAGGGGACGCGCCAGCCATGCCCGGTCCCCTGTCTTAAGTGAGCACAGGGCTGGCTGTCCCACTAGCCGGGCCCTCACCGTCGGGCACCAAGCCGTGGTTTTCGTACTGGTCCAGCTGGACGATCACGGGGTTCCGGCAGCCGCGGGTTGCGCGGAAACGGCAGGTAGTCTCTGCCTTCCAGGCTGGGGTCAGTCGCGCGAAGAAGCGCTCATATTCGGTGGGAGAGAGGGGGCTGCCCGGAGCGGAGGCCGAAACTGAATCCTGGGCTGATGAGGCACGTCCCGCAGTCAGAAGCAGCGCTGCGGGGCGAACAGGCGGAGGCATGGACGGGCTCCCAAACCCGCTCGGGCCCGGGACGGACTGGCAAGTGGGACCATGTGCAAATTAGGAACTGAGGCGTCTGGCCTGCGACCCCTGCTGATCAAGGCTGCGGGGGGAGTGCGGAGGCAGAGGCACGTGTCTGACCCCGGGGGAGGAGGGGAGGGACGCGGAAGCCTGGGCGCAAACCCAACGCGGCCACCGCGAGCGAGCGGCTCCGACACCGCAGGGGAAGGGCGCCCGGGGGCAGAGGGCCGACCCGGAGGACGAGACTGAGCCGGGGAACCTCTCACCCTTCAGGAATGAGATAAGGAAGCCGGCGGCGGGCCTCATGGCCCCGCCCGGTCAGCCTGCGTTTCCTGGACCGCAGCGGCCTTCAACGGGCCAAGCCAGGGAGCCGGCGGGCGCGGGCTCGCCGACGGCAGGGAAGGGCGGCCGTGACGTCACAAAGGGCCGGGGGCGGGGCCTCGGAAACCGACGGGGGTGCCGGGGGCTCCGCGAACGGCGGCTGCTCTTCCCCGCCAGCTTCCAGCCCCGGAGGATGAGGACGGCGAGCGATCGCTGACGCAGTGCCTTGGATGGAGTAGGTCCTTTATGTGTATTGGCTTATTTCATTCCCCAGGTTATCCCATAAAGGGGATGCTCTTTCTATACCAGTTTTACAGGTGATGGAAAACCTGGGCTTTGGGAAACAGTTTGCCCAGTAGGTGGGGGGGGCCTGGATGTCAGCACAGGCAGGCAGGCAAAGACGGAACGTACAAAACCGAATCAGGGTCCACCTCAGCAGGGACTAGAGAGGAAGCCTCCAGGTAAGAAGTAAGCCAGAGGGGAAACAGGAGCAGGGGGCAGGACCTGCAACCAATACAGGATTGTGTATCAACGGGCACTTCAATTAAAAAAACAGAGAGAGTAGGATGGCCACAACAGAGAGCAAGGAAAGTAAGATGGATACCAGCATAGAAGAGGTGGCACCAGGTTATCTCAGAAAACAAGCCAGACAAAACACCAGAAGAGGTGCTCTATGACACTGTAGGAGCTTTTCTGAACCCCACCTCACTCTTTTAAGTTCAGGGAAAGTAATTTCACAGAAATTGAGTGACAGAAGAGTACCAAGGTCAAATTCCATGTAAGATTATCATAGAAAAACCATAAGAATAACATTACTACAGAGAATGAAACATACCGGAGATATGTGCCATGAACAGATCAAGACAACCATTTCAAATAAGCTAAAAGACATTATGAACATGATATGACACATGAAAGAACATAAATCAGAATTAGAACTAAAACTCAGAGGTGAACAGAACTCAGGAATTAGGATGAAAGGAAAAAAATCATTATTCACAAAGACTAAACTAGAAGTATGCAAGAGCGAATAAACAATAGATAATGCCATAGATAGAAGATAAAAAAAAATTTTAATCAAAAAGAATAGATAAAAAGGATTAGAGAGTCAATGACAAACTCTGGAAATAAGATAAAAAGGTAATACGAGTCTTTGAGGAAAAAAACAAAGCAAGGGAACAGCACAAGTACTAGCAAGTATTCAAGAAGATTTTCCTGAATAAAGAAAAACTTGAAACTACATATTCAAAGAGCATACAGCAAAGCTGAGAATATAGTGCCAAAATGACCAGTACCAAAACATATTATATTCTAGTAAAATGACTGAACTTCAGAAGGAAAAAAATATTCTTCGGGCATCTAAAATAAACACACACCACTTAGAAGGAAAAAATATTAGCCTATTGATATACTTTTTAGGAAGAGTTGTATTTGTTGTATTTTCAAAAATATATGTGGTTTTGGGAGATTTCCGCTGCTCTACTCACGCCGCCATCTTGGCTCCAAAGTGATATACTTTTTAACAGTAATACCTTTTGCCAAAAGAAAAGTAACATATTTAAGAGACTCAAGAAAGGAAAGTATAAACCCAGCAAGAAAAGACTGTGTTAAGTGCAAAGGGCACAAACTGTTATCAACATGCAAGATCTCAGAGAATACTGTTGCCAAGCTTCCTTCCTGGAGATCTACTAGAAAACCAACTTCAGACAACCAAAACAAGAATGGCTTAAGGACTGGAGATGAATATTAAATACAAAATTACTTACAGAATTAAAACTACATAAGGACTAAGAAGGCATATAGTATACAATGATTCTATGCCCTGACAATGCAGATTTACTAAAAGGTTTTGTAATGACGTGGTGAATGGTAAATGAATTTGCAAAATATTTTAAAAATATTTTCATTAATCATGTTGGTGGTAGCATTGCTATTCTGAGAGTGCTTTGTGTGTGAGATAAATGAGTAATTATGAAATATTTTATCATCTTCCGTGTCCTTGAAAACCAGCATTCTTGATATGGAAGGAGCCAGAAAATTAAATAAATCAAAATTTAAATAAATAAATTGAAAATTAAGTAAAAGCTCTTCATCTTGAAAAATAAAGAGCAGTGTTCAGGTGAGGAGGCACTCAGGTGTGAGGACAGCTCAATGGAAGGAAGTGGTTTCCAAGTTTGGGGTGGGCAAGATAATCCACTGGTTGTAGGGGAAAAAATATGTCTTTGTTTTATGCTTAAAATAAGAAACCAAGTTAACATTTAGTATCATAGTACATGTATAAAACACAAATACACATTTATTGGAAATTAAGTGAAAGATGTATGGAGAAAAAAATGCACGACTTAAAAAGTTCTGGAAACCCCTGGTCACACCCCTCTAGCCAGCTTTCTCCTTCCCAAGTTGAGAAGCTGTGGATTCTGGTACAAAGGTACCCCTTCTGGTCCCATGTCTTGTTTTACTGCTGGTATGTCATCCTGTTGCCTCATCTAACCCAAAGAATACAAAAAAAAAGAGGCTTAGTGCCTGTCCTAAAATAGCATCTCTGCAATAACCACAGCTGGCCAGCATGTATAGCTTTTATTCACCTACTCCAACTCCTTTACATGTGAGTGCTCTGCATTCCACTTTGCCCCCTCTCCCATTCCCAGGCCAGGATGAATCCTCCTGGCACAGAGGAAGGGTGCTCCTTCGACTATGGCAAGCCCAGATGACAGGACCCCCACCAGAAAAAGCAGGGAAGGAACAAATAAAGTTCACCACACCACGGCCCCCCAGAGGGTAGGAATTAGAAGGCGGGCAAGTGCTCCCTCCCACGCCCTCGCCCCAGTCCTCAAATACAAAGCAAAGGGAGTAAAGAGGACCATCTCTCAGAAATACAGCACCAACATCAGCATGGAGGCAACAGGGCGATGGGCAGGCCTGCTTCCCTCTGAAGGCAGGGGGTGCTGCATGGAGCACATCCTGTTAGCGTGCAGCAGCCCTGCCTACCAGGGTGTGGACGCAGCCTCAGCACCAGGAGTGGGGAGAGGGGAGGAGATGGGATGATAACATGGCACCAGCCACTCTTCCCAGCCCCAAGCCCCAGCACAGGCATTCCTCTCTCCACCAGCCCAGGTCAGGGGGTAGGGAAGAAATTGTGTTGGAATCTGAGGCTCTTATCTATTTCTTCTTCCGTTCTTGGGAGCAGCGTGGGCAGAACCTAAAAGAAGATGTGACAGAGAAGCGGGGAGACAGTGGGTGAGAGGGGGCCTGCCCTCCCCTGTGCAGCTGAGGGCAGGCTGGCTCCTCCGCCTCACTCACTCACCATTTCCCCCGGGGCTTGGTTGTCAGACCCACACAGGCAAAGTGGAACCACTCGATGGAACACTGGAAAAGGAAGAGGATGGGGGACAGAGGTCAGGGACCAGAGCAGGACAGAGGAAAGAAAAGAAGCCCCCCTACAGGTTCCTGATGAGCATTCCCTTACTCTGTCCCTTCGCAGAAATGATGGAGGTCACAAGGCCAACCAACTCCAATTACCTTCCTCCTACCCTTAAGTCCCACCAAGCAACCATTTTCCCCCTCTTGTATCCACTGCCTTCAGGTCTCCCACACTCCCCCATCCAGAGGCAAGGGTTCTCACATCGGGGTTGTCACAGCCAATCATCTCTCCATAGGAGACCTGGTGACAAAGGCAGTAGGTGGGTTCGTTGGGATCCACAGGCATATCCAACACATCAGAGGGGTGGACGCTGCCAAAGGTCACCGAGGGCATCCCGTACTCAGGACTTCTGCATGCCAAGAGGAAGAGGAAGTGTCATTGGCAGGAAAAGCTACCACCTCAGACTCTCAGGGGTGGCAGGGGATCCTGGTGGGGCATGCAATTTGTGGCTTCTCCTCTCCAGTCAGCAGTTATCAAAACGATAAGGAGAAAAGCTACTGGCACGGAAGACAGAGAAAGTGGTGGGGCGGCAGGGGGTAGGGGGGCAGGAGACAAGAGTCCGTCAGGCAACGCGGTCCCTCAAACACTCACGTGCGCACAAGTTTTAACTTCTTCTGGGCAGCCTTGGGGGCCTCCTCGTCAGAGTTCTTCCCTTTGGAACGAGCACGGGCAGCTTTCTTCTCCTTTTGGGTCCGGCCTTCTAGGAAAGAGGGGAAATGCCAGAAGGCAGGGAGACGGAAAGACGGGTTAAGTCTTCCTTCTTCCCCCTCTTTGCGGCCCAGTGACCCTCCCTCAGCTGCCAGCTGGCTTCCGGCCCACTGCTCATTGCCCGCCCCCTCCTCACTCTTTTTGCCTTTGCTGGAAGAGCTGTCGTAGTCACTGGACTCAATCTGCTTCTCCTTCAGATCAGCCTCAAAACGGGCCAGGTCTGTGTCCAGTCGCCGGATGTGTTTGTCCACCTGGGTGGGAGGCACAGAGAAAGAAGAGGTACAAGGCTGGTTCCGGTAAAAGACAACTGGCTGAGGCAGAGTTCTATGGATCTCCCAGACCCTACACAGATCCCGACACAGCTGACGGAGGGCTCTAGGCCCCTAGAATTAGATGGGAGGAGGTGGGGAGCTGTGAACAGGGCCATACCATCTCATAGGTCTGCATGGCAAGCTGCACCTTGTCGTCACCAAATTCCTTGCATTTGCCATAGGCTTCCTGGATCTGTTTGAGAAGGGCCAATTTTTCCTCGGAGCTCATGCTGCGGGCGCTACTCATATACTCAGTGGCCAACTTGTCAATTTCAGCCTTCAGGTCTACAACAGAGACAGAGGCCTGGTCACAATGGCCCGAGTGGCTAGGTGAAACACACTTCTTCCTCTTGCTCCTTGGACCTTTTCCTTTGACCACCATAACCTTCGAACTAAAATGTACTGAACGTTCACAGGTACCGTGTCATGTACTCAAGTAATGCAACATATTGACAATATTTGTCCTAAAGGCGCCTTCAGGTGCTGAGAACATTGCTATCAGAGCTGGAACTCAAATTATTGATGCAGAACGAGGGAGCCTTTGCATACCTCACTAGCGTGAGGTCTATTTTTGTTCATGTCTGAAGATGCTTCTTTGCAGTGCTTGCTGCCGCTGGAACCATAATTTCTGTCTCAAAGGCTGCCTGGTTTCTCATTTCATAGACTCCTCACAACAGCTGCGAGGGCTGCTCACCAGGCTGGCTCATCTGCCACTGCTGGCTTCCGGGTCTGCATGTCTACCACTCATCTTTCAAATTAGACTCTAGCTCATTCATGGAACAGTTCTTCTCATGCCTGCCCTATTTTGTGCATCATTTGTAACTTGCTTATTTTTCCCATCACCTTTTTTCTGTTTATTCATCTTAGATATTGCTCAGAACATTTTAATTTTGGAAGACTGGTGATATGCCAAGACATTGCAACTGCAGATGTCTACCACCTAGTATCTGGTAGGGCTCATAAAAAATGTCGAAGGAAAGAGACACAAGTATGACTGTGACATGGCATAGTGATTGATAACAGGAGGTATCGTTGTGCACACTATGCTTACACCCCATTTCACTGACAGCTCTTGGAGGAAGCTGAAAAAGCCAGTCGTTTGATAATCTCCAACTGGTCTTTCTGTGCATGAATTCAAGAACTGGGTGTATTACGAAGAAAGCAAGCTGGTTCTCAGCATTCGGCAGGCAGTTCTCAGGGGCCTATGTTCAGAATTTTAGATGCTGGTCACCTTTTCATGCATAAACTTACCCGAGTAACTTAAATCAGAGCTTTAGGTATCCTAACACCAGCTTGTTACATCTTCGAACATGGCTACATAAGGATGGAAATTAAGACCTATGTGTCCTTGAGCAGGTATGTGGGGGTAGCTCCAACAGACATCTCTGGCCTTGAAGAGACCATCTGACCATTGTAGTGTAGCCTCAGGCTCCAAGTGAATGCCTCCACACAGCCATGCTCATTCAAGTTCCAAGAAAGGCCACAGATGGTATCTAGCACTTCCGTAAGGTTGAAGAATATAGTGC